ATAGCCGTCGATGGCGTGGCATGCCCAGGGGGAAATGGCGGGATGACAGAGACGCGTTCTTAAATGAGTGCCGCTGATAGCAGCGGACAGAGAGAATAGGAAGTTCAAAGAAGAAGCCTTTACCCAACAGACCGACACTATATCGGACTAACAAATAATCTCAATCAGAGTACTAAAAAAACCGACATCAAAAGTGCGTGGAATTACATCTATTTACCAAGTTTTATTGAAATCGGTTACCGGAAACTACGCGAAACCGGATTCATCACCTAATTTACCTCTTAGGGTGGAATATTTTCTTTAAATTTAAATGGGACCACTTTTGAGTTACACATACATACATACATACAAAAAAATACAATCGAATTGAGAACCTCCTCCTTTTTTTTGAAGTCGGTTAAAAGAACACATTTCTTTCGTGCAACATAACGGTTGTGCCACAGTAGAGTAGAAGTATTAGTGGCAGTGGCACTAAGACCCACCCTCCATCTTCCCGTGGCTTTAATAACATGATTTTTTTCAGAGCTACATCCTACTAGCTTGTAGTTCCACAGGAATAGATCTCACTATTATATACGCTGTTCTCATTATTACTCTATAAAATTTCACTTCAGCAAGACAACTGTGCCCAGGCTGTGGAACATGCTTGATACGGAATGGTGCAGTTGGTTCTGTCCAATCTTTGTAGGTTTAGTAGAGAATCTCTTGTAAATCTAACGCTGCCATGACATAGAAAACATCAATTGCCCCGTGTGAATCAATACAGCAAACCACAAGATGACCAATTATTGTAACCCTTAATTACAAAGTAACAATGTCGCTAATGGTACTGCACCCTTAATACGACTTTAATCGTTATGAGACTTTCTCAGACTAATCATATGAAGTCGGTTTTCTATCGGATACATTTCGTAGATAACTTTTCTATTCAGGAAATGAAACTATTTTTCCGGATTTAAATCGCGTATATTTGTTTTTTCAAACAAACCGACGTTTCGGGCCCTTTACAGGTCCTATGGTCACGGTTGACTGAGGTGGTACAGTCTTCAACCAGTTATGTCTAATATTGATGCAAACCACCCTATTTTTTCACTATATTTACAATAGTTATTAATTAAATACCTTATTTTTAATTTTACAAAGAAAACATTCCAATTTACGCTGTAGTAAGTTTTACAAATTATTTTATTGAATGAATTTTTATTAAGTTCAATTTATTATTTATTATTAATAGAAATTAGAATAAACTAAAACATATTAATTAGTACTGCAGTCTTATGTCTGTTTGGGATTTTTCATTAGAGGAAATACTGGATCCCAAACTGGTGGTACGGAGAAACCATCTTCCCTGTTGAAATTAGGATGCTTTTTAATTACAATGGCCTCTCGCAGCATCCTGGGTAGATAACGGACTTCTTTTGCAAGGAGCTTTCTATTCAGTTCAACCATTACCGTTCTTCTTTTGGTCGGCCAGAAAGTCCAGGATACACCTTCCTTATATCAATACCATCAATTCGCACGAAGCGATTTGCTTCTTCCTAATGCATATACACGTCTATGTTTCCCAAAAATACAATTGAAGGCTATTCAAGGCAAGGCTGAATAGGCGTTCGTTAGATAAATACGTATCAACGTCAGCCGTGTCGTCGTTTGGCATCAGGTGTGATTGTGGCCAAGCGTGTAGATACACGCTTAAATTTTATTAAATAAAATAGATATTTTATATAAAAAGCTCGAAAAGTCTTTTTTTACGACTTCAAGTGACGGGACGAACGAGTCGTGCTTGGTAAGCTACACCTCCGTCCATAACAGTTACAGTGCCACTCAGAGCTTTAAAAGAGCAAAGATCTTAGGCGCACTACCTCTGCGCCCGTCATCCTGAGACATAAGTTGACAAGTCCCAAGTGCCTGTCATTTCACCAGCACCCTTACCCTTAAAAACCGGAACACGGCAACGCTGACATTACTGCTTGGCAGCAGAAATAGGTAAGGTGGCAGTTCTATCCTGGACGAACTCTTTCACAAGGAGCAAGCCATTTTTTAATTAACGAAATACTACTAAATCTTGTCGTTCCTTGGCTCCTACCAATTACTACTGCAAATCAGCAGGGCTGTGATATCAAAGTACGTTACCTAAATAATAAAACACATCAATAACTTTTTGACAACAAAACTAGAACTAGAAATATCCAAATTTTAACGTGTTAATGCTTCCATACCGAAATTCGTAAAGAGGCTATCATTACTATCGGTATAATCGTCTGGGTACACTTAACGATTACACCTGTATGTCTATACTGATCGAACAGATCTATTAAAGTTTCATTTTGTCTGCATCTGTAAATAAAAATATCGTGTATGTAACCACGGTTAAAACGTAAACGGGCTAAGCGACATTTAGTTTGTAAATAATAATAATATGTCACATGAAATGCATGGTCGCAAAGCTGTAAATTCCTTGTACTATTAGAACCAGAGCAACGGAATTCACTCCGAGACACAGCCGAGAAAACTCAGACCAGTACCAATTCAGAAAAGTTCCCAAATAGGTCCTACCGGGGCGGGAAGTAGGACCACCAAGGTCTTCAAAGTCACCAAAATATTAAATATCTAGGTAGTAAGGTCTGTGGATAATATTAGAAGGTCTATCACAATTAACCTAAGTATCAATAGCCTTTTAACTTCAAACCGTCGATATACGTGAATGCCGATTAATGCATCAGCGGATTTACTTTACCATCAAAATGACAATCTCGACGTTACACAATACTGTTAAAACATTTATTTCTCATGCCATAAATGTTAGAAAGTGCAGATCGATTTTTATGTCTGGATTATCTAACGTTTTATTTAGTGTGAAAAACGTGCATGATAGAACCGTGAAAATAAATGGCTTCATTAGAATCTTGGATTTTTTGGATACAACCCGAACAAAAAGACTATGCGACTGTCAAAAATGACATTGTTAAAACGTTGGTTTCTTGCTTTGGTCATGGTCATCGTAAGATTACTTAATTATCAATCTCAAAAAAATTTGTTACTTGAAAATTAAAAAATCTCCTATATGATGTTTCCTTACTTTGTGACAACGTTACTGAGCGGATGAGGACGGAACGACGTTAAACGAAGAGGTCTTCCAGATTTTCTGTAGACTTACCTGAAATCCGAGACCATTACTTTCAACAATCGGCGAGTACTTTACGTCGAAAGGCGAATCCTTTCAACACGATACGATAAGATGAAGAGATCTAAAATCCAAAATACAAAGAAACGATAATCGTTTTAACTTCATTTTGGGCGGATGTACCATGAAATGCTTCGAATCCAAAATCGGGCCCAAAGTGCATCCGAATATCGTGATGTGACCCTTCAAAATATTTCGATCAGGTTGTGTAAGATACTTACTAATAAATAAATCCAGCCCCTAAATACAACGACACTCAAACACCTGTTTATAAACACCGGCACATTGTATAATAACATCTCAATTGAGCAAGACACTGTATTTTTTTGATTAGGGCTTGATAACGATCTAGAACCATTCCTCAAGTGCTAGGTAATGCTTGTTAATGAGTAGAAATTTTGATAATTCTAATGGAGCATAATCTTTAATGCGTATGTACTCAAGTGATATTTTATATTACTAAGAACGGTTGAATAAGAGCTTAATTATCGATCCAGCATATGAGATAGTTATTAACACGGGCCTAATAGGTTTCCCCAATATAATCATAATGACGTCACGTGTTATTGCTCGTTCCTTCGTTGCTTAAAAGTTTAGAAACCAATTTATGTTAGCACAACGTAAGAAAATTGTCTAATAAACAAAAATCATAAAGTATGCCATTTAAATATATTACACAACACTACTTTAGCTAGTGTACTAGTTTTTGAACAGCTCACACTAAATTCATGAGTATCTACATCTCACTCTCGCATGTAATTAGATAACTATATTGGCTTTGTTCTGTTTTATATCATTTCAATGTAATCTAGTCGTAATAAGCTGTAGTTGTGTCACATAAAATAAATAAACACAAGAAGCAATTCAAGTTTATGTCGTTCAAATAAAACACCAAGTAAAAAGATACGCGAAACATATAAATCATGTAAAATTACAAACAAGCTCATAAGGTGTTTTCTTTTATTTACAGCTGGGCATCAACGGTCATCAACGTGGAAAGTGAAGAGAGACAAATTGCAGAAGGAAATTAATGTTTCCTATACAACTTTCATCGTTACGACGACCTTATGACTCATAAAGATGAATATAGAAATAAAATGAAGGATAGGAAAAAAACATCTTGTTATGTACATTCTTGGATGAACAAATGATATTGTACTTGGTGAGGTTATTGTTCAACGGCACAAAGTCCATTCAGGAGATTCGAGAAATTTAGTGACATTTTAATAGGCTGATGCAGACAAAGTTTGGAGGATGCAAGTCATTCGAAAGTTTGAATGTATAAGTTTGTGATTAATAAATAAAGGTTTGACAAACAAAGAACATAATAAATCATATGAAAGATTTACGTAAAACATTGTCACTACATATCAAAAGAAACAAAAGAATTAAGAACTATTGAGGTAATCAAAAAACCGAAAGTACTTAAATTTTATCGTCCGTTCCTAAGTACTTACGTACATTGCGCAATAGAACGACAATAAGCTACTATTATGTACTATTAAATAAGTAACGCACGTCTTTTAAAGAAAGGAAAAGTGGAATCTGCAACGCAGACTTAATAAATCATCGATGGACAACACAAATATATAATCTACTGATGAACATATGAAAGAAACGTGTGTGATGATAATACAGTACATATTGCAACAGAATTCAATTCTAAACACGATGAATGTAGCTTGTCAAAGGCAGTACTCATAGAACGTAACCTTTGCAAAGGTTAGACAAGCAATAATTTTAATTATAACACAATAAGAATTGGCAGAAAATACTTTTACTAATTATTGCCACTAAATTTCTTTTAGTAATTGTTCAGCGACAAAACAAAGCAAAGCATAGAAATACGGATTTCGAGATGAAATAAGTAAGTTAAAGAAGATTGTTTATATTCCGGTCAGCTAAAGGTCGGACAAATGAATTTACTTGGTAAGTCTATTTATTATTTTCTTTAATGATTCTATTTATAAGCTTTTCGTAGTTTGTTGATATTTCGGTTTATGTTGTTACATAAGCTAAAATTTTATTGGGTATTACCATTATTGTAGGCGATTCAAATATTTCACCATTCAAGTACACGTATAATGCCGGAGGAAATTTGACATAATTTGTAGTAAATTTTAATTTTGCGTTTACTCTGTCAATGTTTGATAAATGCTTCCTAGTTAAGTGCTAAGATTAAACATGGATTAGTAGATGGGTTTACCTATTTCAACAACCTGTTGTAGTCTCTAATTAGGTTAGGAACTTCATCAATGTAAAATCTTGTAGGATTCGTTTTGTCTATTGGTTAACATCAGTACAGCCATTTTTGGCACCCTTGTTACATATAACCCTCACTATGAATACCTGCATAGATTGAATAATACATTCCTTTCCAAAAAGTCAAGACCATCAAATTCTTAGGTACATTTTTAGCCTCTTGTCGACACTTTTTAGCAATTGACAGTATGAACAATTCGTGGCAAGCATCACGCCTTTCAATAACAGTTGCAGTGCGTCTCAGAACTTAAATTGCAAAGATCTGTGAGAAACTGCCACTGCGCCCGTTACCCTGAGATACAGAGTGGTCAAGTACCATGTTTCGTAGTTTCTGCAGCACCCTGATCCTTCAAAACCGAAACGCAGTAATGCTTATAATTATTATGGCTTGGCGGCAGAAATAAGTATGGTGACAGTATTCCCCTGGAATAATTCTTTCAAAAGGAGCTTCTACCAATCTTTAACCGATACCTCCAAAGAACATTACGCCAACTTTATTTTTTGGTCATTTTCTGTCATTTTTGTTAACAACAGCCGTTTCTATTTTCTAATATTATGCTCCCCGAATTTTGTTAAAAAAAGTAAAGAAGCAAAAAACTTCATTCGAAAAAAAACAAAACGAATTTAGTGAAAAAAAAAATAAAGAAACAAAAACAAAATAAAAACAGAGCAGGTTCAAAAATTAAGTTAATGTGTCGAAATGTTGTGTTGGTCATAAAGTCCCTGCGGTATCAAAGTATAAACAAAAAAAATTTAATTAAACAAATACAAAATTTAACCAAATCAATTAAGTATACTGGGGCGAAAGAAATATAACACAGGTTTTTTGCTGGTCATTGGCATTGACTCGACAATTCGAAGAATCGAAGTATTGGCTATCTTGATTTACAATCTTTTGTCATATTTCTGATCATTTTCAAGTTCTCCTTTATAAAAATTCTGTTTTTCAAAGTCGTATCCATTCGAAGTATTTTGTAAAGACATAAACAAGTGAAAAATTGGAAGGGGCTATGTCAAGCGAATACGATGGACGAAGTAATAAATCTCTACCTAACTGCACTAATTTTTGGCAACTTTGTAAAGAAGTGTGTGGGTCGATATAAGCATGATGAAATACGACATCTTTACTATTTATCAGCCCTGGACGTTTTCCTGCTTAATAAAAACTTGTAACTTTCCCGCCAGGTATTAAACTGAGCGCCATAATATTATTTTTAAAATGACCATAGACAGTACAACATTTTAAAAGAAAAAGGTTCTTTTTTGTTCCAAGTTACTTTAGTGACAAAAAGCGCGCAGAGTTTTTGGTCAACATTATTTTACTGTTGTTTAAAGTTTTTGTCATACCAAGTTATTTAGAGAAGTTGAGGACATATCATCAACGAAAATCTGTGTAACGAAATAAAGAGACGTTTGTTTTGAAATATAATTTTAAATTATGAATGTTATTTTACAAGTTATGCTGTTTGATATTTATTTGTGAGAGAGCAATTAATATGGTGTTTCTTTCCTTGGTCAGGGTTTTAATAGGGTTTTGATTTTGCCTAAGTCTCTATTTATGTCTAACAAAGTATATATTGCTCCTCTTGTATTCTGAACGTCATATTGTCTCATACTTTGATTTAAACTTTGACGATTTTCACACATTATTTGATTTTTAGTTCGGGACTTAATCATTGTATAAAACACATTTTAATTACCTCGACGTTTCTGGCGTATTGGCAACGTCTACGGACTTGAAGGGACTGAAGAGGCTACAACTACCCGCACTTGGTCTTCATTATTTATTTGTGCTCTAGGGTATTCACTAAACCGAAACACAACGCTCACGACATCTTCGAGACCACGGACGTTGCAATACGTCCGAAACGTCGACGTAATTAAAATTTGTTGTATATATGATTACGTCCCGAATTAAAAATCAAATAATATTGTCTCATTTTCATAATTATAATAATATTGATACGTATAATAGAGGGAGTAACAACGGTTGATAGAGATAAGTGGTAGAAGAAAATCCACTGGGGCAACACCAATTAATAAGACATCCGGAGATGAAAAACAGCAAACTTTTTAAATTATTTAATTGCTATGATTTAAAGTTAGATTACACGAAGTTAGCGGTGAAAATTGCATCAAACTTTTTTTAGTCTTTACAAGGTTTTTGTATGGAAAATCTGACGTTGTTTCGAAAAATCCCATGTTGTTTCTGACATGGCGTGTAACAGAAAATCGTGCTCAGATAATTCCAATAAAAACCAGTTTGTCGCGTGGAAAGTGCTTTGGATCGATTTTGTTCGCTTTCCTTGGTTTGTGATCTACGCGTGCCTTATGGTCAGAATGTTTTAGGTTAGTTTTAAAACAAAACAAAAATTATATAGCTAGGTTATTATGGCAACATAGTCATAGACATTTCTCATTCGATGTTAATAAGAAGAGAGAAATATTCGAAAATCTATTTTTTTTTTCGTTCAAAGAAATTAATATCTGTCTAAAGTAAGTAAGTAAATACGTAAGTAAGTAAGTACCCGCAGAACTTTAATGATTCATTGAAATAATGCCAACATGTTTGCTAAAAAACTGACGTCAAAAATTTATGGAATTACTACATCTATTTGCCAAGTTTTATTGAAATCGGTTAACGAAAAGTGGATGAAATCCCATAAACCAGATATATATAATTTGCCACGCTTAAAGGTGAAATATTGTTTTGAAATTTAAATGGGGTCCATACTGAGGTACTACCCCCTTTCCAGCAAAAAAAGAATCCTCGTTATCGGTTCACAAATTTTAAGTAATCGCTTAATACGCAAAAAAAACCTCGAATTGAGAAAGCGTAATTTTTTTGAAGTTGTTTAAAAAGTAACATTACAGATTTTACATTAAAATAACCTATGCGTATATATAATATCAAGTGATGGGACAAACAAGTCGTGGGCCTGATGGTAATCTGGGCACTACCACTGCGCCAGTTACCCTGAGACATAAGTTAACAAGTCCCTTAAGCCTGAAATGTCACCAGCACCCTTACTCTTCAAAAGCGGAACACAGTAAGGCTGACATTACTACTTGGCGGCAGAAACAGATAAGGTGGCACTACAAACGTTATTAAAGTGCTGCCATCTAGCGGTTTAGTTACAAAATACTTCGAAGTTGAAACAACTTCGCCTTTAAAAGTATGCTAAGACTTAGGGAGGTCGTGATATAGTTTATAGTTATGTCGCTAGGTGGCGCTGTTTATAATTCCCATTTAAATTTCATGAAATTGTACAGATTTCTTATTGCGATGGCGCTTTATTAGTATAACGGCAAATTATTGCCAAAAAATGTATTTGTAACGAAACGTTAAAAAAACAAGAAACCCTATACAGTGCATATACATTGTATGTTTACTACTGTTGTCTAGTCAGTTAATGTCAATCATATTATTAGGGCTTCGATTTTTGAAATTTTGCTTTAGATTCACGCGCAAAGTATAAATTGATCTTGCAGTGGTTTTGTTTATGAGAAGCGTTTTCAAACAATACCTGAATATTATATTATATAATTAATAATATATTGAACTTAATAAAAAAATCATTCAATAAAATAATTTGTAAACCTTAATGCAGCGTAAATAGGAATGTTTTCTTTGTAAAATTAAAAATAAGATATTTAATTAATAACTATAGTAAAAATATTGGGTGGTTTGCATTAATATTAGACATAACTGGTTGAAGCCTGTACCACCTCAGTCATCCGTGACTATGGGACCTGTAAAGGGCCCGAAACGTCGGTTTGTTTGAAAAAACAAATATACGCGATTTAAATCCGGAAAAATAGTTTCATTTCCTATGTGTAACAATCGCAGAAACCTAAGAACTCGATATCTAATTTTATTTGTTATAATTAGAGGGGTATAGAAACAAAGTCGACTCTGTCCTATTGGATTCAAATGTTTCTGGATCACGACTACGTCACATGAAATGTCTGGATAAAACTGTTTGCACATTTTCTTCAATTTTCAAAGAATTAAACAGAACAAACAATAAAGCTTTCAAGCGTAATCTCCTTACAAAAAGTTACAACCGCCATATTGAATCTAAGAAGTAAAATGCGCTGTGATTGGTTGAAATTGACAATATCGTTTTTGTTCCTTACCCAATCATGTCATTGTCAAGTTTGCGCCGTACCTCCGTTTTTCGGAGCGATTTTCGGAGAATCTATACCCAACTAACTGAAATTATCGCCTTGAAGCAATAGCAAAAAAAAATACATTCACTGTTTAAAAAAAAATACATGTCACTGTTTTGGACAGAGACGGTTTTGCTTCAATTCCTCTATGTAAAAGCTGAAACTTTTTAGTTTTCCATATAACAAATAAAATTAGAGTTATGATTTATTTTCTTAAAAAATTACTTTAAAGCGCTCTCTTGTAATATTTTCCAAATGCACGTTAGACGTTTTACCTTTCCAGTGTCGATATTGAAACAAGGTTTGCGTTAAAAAAAATTACTTAAAATATAATATAATATGGTGGTAGCGTAATGGTTCCAATCTGGGCGTGCGCCTTAGACTTTGCGGAATTTAAGTGCGACATTTAATTTGAAATTCATCATGACCTTTTCAGTGAAGGAAAACATTGTGATGAAAGCAGCACACGCCTGTAAAGCAATGTGTGTGAAGTT